GGGGGGGGGGGGGGGGGGGCATGGGTGTCAGACGGGAAGTGAGTGCATAGGGTACACATGTTTCCTCGATTCTTGGAGATGGGGGAGAGAGGCCCATTCCTGCAAGCCGACAACGGTGATATGTGGCAAAGCATAGATCAAGGCACCAACCGAATGGCCGTAACGGGCAATGATACTTTCGGCGTGTGCACTTGGGTGATGACGGCAGCTGCCTGCGGGTCTAAGGGAAGAAAACATCCAACGCAGCTAGGTAGCTGAAACCACACAGCAGCAAGCTAAAAGCAACAGCAGCCACAGCAACAACCACAGCAACAGCAACGGCAACCACGACGCACCTGGAGGAACTCTTCCCGGTGAACGGGACCCGACGACAGCAGCACCGCCACCGTCCGCAGCAGCTCGCCGAGAAGCTCGCGGCCCTCCCTCGCCAGCACCTCCGCCCGGTCTCGCACCTGGCCGCTCGCGCCCTTAGCGGAAGCCTCGCTGGCAACGGCGGCAAGCTCGTCGACGACCCTGGTCAGTGGGAGTGGGCGAGAAAGTCGAGACGGGGTGAGAGCGGGGCGACGAAGTATAAGGATAAGTCAAACGTGGGGACGGGCGGGAAAAGGTGCAAAGGAGGATGTGAAAGGAGTGAGGCGTAGCGACAACCCAGGGCGGAAGGACGAGTAAGCCATCGCGGTCGCATGGTAGGGGACGGGAGGGGGGGCCGTACTCATGGTTGCATGCCATACTTGTTAGACCATTGACCACGGTAGGGGGAGAAGGGGGTAAAATACTCAGAGGCGAGTTTGGTCCGCTATGTCAGCGAAACTGCGCAACGGGTGCATCGCACAAACACAAGTGAGAACGTGCACATCAACCGTTTACTGGGTTATATAGGCGCTGCCCCGTGTGCGGTTCGAAATGCATCACCGGGATCGACATGACACGGAAGCGTGGAATCAGCGGTTGTCTACTCTGCGACCTGAGGGCAAGAAAAACAAAGGGCGCAAAAACGCTGCCCGTGTCAACATTTCGCAACCACCACCAAAGATCACCCTACCCAGAAGCAACAACGACAGTGATGGCAACGGCAGCACCGGGTGCTACCTCAAAAGCACACTCAAAACCACCGAAAACAATGACAGCGACGACATGATGACACCAATACAAACAAACGCTGTGCAATACATACCTGAAGGGACATGGACATGACATAACGACGAGGACGAGGACGACGACCATGACGACGACGGAACCGAAAACGACCACAACGATGCCAATAACAAAGACGACCACGCAACGACAGCAATACAGGGGACCCCTTCCTCCCATCACCTGGCAGCCGTGTACAGGAGCGCGCGGGTGCCCCCCGCCCGAAACCACGCGTCGTACACCCCTCCCTTCGTCGCAGGTCCCGGTGCAACGTGTACGCCAGAGTACGCCACGACATGCTTCACCGGGCCTTCCAGTCTCGCCAGATCGCCACCCGATCCGCCACGAGCTTGAACCATCGCCACGGCAGGACTGCAAAAACACACACACACACATATACGCAAAGATTTAGACTGAGGGGGAAAATGAGGGTGTTGACACGTCTTGCTTGTACAGAAAGGGGCCCGGTTTAGGGACCCACTGTTTCGCGACATGCCCTGTTTAGCGACCTCAAAACCGCGTGGAACGGTCGCACGTCGGTTATAACTGCTAAACAACTGGTAGGTCGGTTTAGCGACCTGCCCTGAATAGTGGCCACATTTTGTCGTGGCGCTAGGGGTTGCAACATCGCCCCCCCCACTGCTGTACAAGAATGACGACAGTGTAGAGAGCAAAAACCACACGGCGGGGCAAAAAAACAAAAACAGATTCAGATGGATGGGGGAAATGAGGGTATTGACGTGTCTCGCAAGTACAAGTACAACGAAAGCGGGTAGAGACCAACAACAAGGGCAACTACAAATTTCAGCTACAAAATTGCAGCGAAAACAGAAACATTTAACAGCAGGTTTGAGTTGGCAAGGACGTTCGTGATCGGTGGGTTTTTGGTTGAGCGAAACCTGAGAATCGCTCGTACAACCAGACAACACAGAGAAGGCGCGTGTGTCTCAAGTAGATAGATGTGTTGTTGTTTTTCTCCCATCATTGGACTCTGTCGTCTGCCCCTCTGGCCCCTATCCTCCACTTCTACCAGCTAGACGACCCAACCGGGGTTACATAGGAGGGGGGGGGTTGTACCCCCCCCTGCGGTGTGTGTGTGTGTGTGTGTGAAAGCTACCTAGCTTGATAGAAAATCGGCTTCGGAGAAAAAAAGAAACGGAAAACAGATGAGAAAACAAAAGTGGAGGTGGAGAGCATCGATCTCCCTACCTGTTCAATGCTAATGAACCGCTCTACCATTTGAGCTACACCCCCTTCGATGTTCGATTCACGTAGTACCCACTTCTGAATTTGCATCGAAAGTGGACAACACCTAGAGAGCAGCACTTGTTGGAGTAACAAGTATCCATCCACAGGCGCTGTGTGCATTAAATTGTTTCGTTTCACCTTTCACGGACAGAGTCGCATTCCCAAACGGTTTGCCAAAAGACACACGTAGTCAGTCCCCCGAGGTGCCCGGAATACGTTTTTTTTTTTTCCGTGTCACTTTCAAAGAAGTGCTCAAAGCATTTCTGCCGGGTACATATATAATGTCAAGACAATAACAACAACAACATACGAGTTAGCTCGAATCCGTGGGTCACAACAGAAGGGTTCCCCTCCCTGAGCCCCCCCCCCCCCCCCCCCCCCCCCCCCCCCCCCCCCCCCCCCCCCCCCCCCCCCCC